CACACACTCTCTCTCTCTCTCTCTCTCTCTCTCTCTCTCTCTCTCTCTCTCTCTCTGAGCTCACACACTTTCTATTTTCTCCCCGATCTCTCTGTCTCTAGAGTGTATATGACCTTCTCTTCAAAGCAGCCAGACGACCCATGGCATCTTGGTAATGAAAATCCAATAAAAGATTTGTCACTTTCTCTCACACACAGTGCTCAAACTTTGATAGCACTCTCTAAGCGCCAACCGCGAGTCTCTAAAGATTCTCTATGTGTTTCTAGAAGTGCTACTGTTGTAGTCTCATATCATCTATCTGTGGTCGTCCATCATGACAATGGACAACCAAGAGCAAAACAATCAAAACGTCATCACCGATATGTCATCACATTATTACCTGCATCCGTCAGATACTCCAGGTAATGTTCTTGTCTCACAAGCTCTTGCTGGTGATAATTTTGGCACTTGGAAACGTGCCATGAAAATTGCTCTTGGAGCAAAAAACAAGTTATGTTTTGTGGATGGTACTCTTCCCAAACCAACTACTCCACTTTTTGAAGTTCAAGCATGGGAAAGATGTAATTTGACAGTTATGTCTTGCCTGTATAGTAGCCACATGCGAGATCATGCTGACAGCGTAGTCTATGCTGGACGGCCCAGAACTCTGGCTCGATCTTGAGGACCGTTTCTCCCAAGGGAATAGGCCATGTATTTATGAAATCAAGCGTTCCATTGCCACCTAACAGCAGGAACGTATGTTAGTTACTTCTTATTTCTCTTCTCTAAAAGTGTTATGGGACGAATTGACTTCATATTTGAAGAAATCTACCTGTACTTGTGGATCTTTTAAGGAACTTCAAGAATATCAACAGACAGAAAGAGTTTATCAATTTTTGATGGGCCTAAATGAATCCTTTGGGACTATTTGGACTCAAATCTGTTCAATGGAACCTTTGCCCAATGTCGGGAAGGTTTACTCTCTCGTCCTTCAAGAAGAAAGGAACAAGAGCCTGCAAGTAAACCAATTAGTTTCCTCCAAGGCTGCTGCTCTCATCGTCAATAGTTTCCACAACAGTCAAGTGAAAGACCGCTTCAAAGAGCGTCCGTAGTGTGACCATGGCAAAAAGGCAGGCCACACTCGTGACAAGTGTTATGATATTCACGGGTATCCTGAAGGAAATCTGAAACAACATCTAAATGGATGTCAAAATCATCAACAAAAGGGAGGAAGACAAGCTAATAATGCCAACTTAAGACAAGCTAATAATGTCAACTCTGCTGCCAGTTCTTGTCACGGCACTTCACAGTCAGGAGGAACACCACCATTACCTCCTCTCTCACCAAGCCAATAACAACAACTTCTTTACTAAGCATTGATTCCCAGCCTTCCAATGCAATTTTGCAGGTATGTTACCCTGTCTCTCTGCTTCTAAAACCACTCATAAATCATGGGTAATAGATTCTGGAGCATCCCACCATTTCACACCCCATCTATCCTCTTCAATGTCACCTATTACCAGCCATCAAAACAAGCCAGTATGCTTGCCCAATGGATGTAAGATTGTTGTAACACATATTGGTAAAAGTTCTCTGTCCCCTTCCATTGAATTAGAAGATGTTCTGTGTGTTCCAAATTTTTCTTTCAACTTATTGTTTGTGAGCAAAGTCACCAATTCTCTTAATTGGGCAATTACCTTCTTCCCTACATTTTGTGTCCTTCAGGACTTGACCTCAAGGAGACTGATTAGAATGGGGGAAATGCGTGATGGATTGTACTACTTCACCCAACCACCTGTTGCTGCTACAGCGACAAAGCCAGCTACCATATCTCCTATCATTTGGCACAAAAGGCTTGATCATCCATCCCGAAATAAGTTTTCTAGTTTTCATCTGAGCCATGATTGTCTTTCTTCATTTTCTTCATGTGATGTTCCCTTTTGTGATGTGTTGCACT